CCACCTAACATAGGACATTATTTTATAAATACAGATCAATCAAGGTAATACAAGTTGCCTTGCAAGATCAGCAACATTTCAACATGGAAATTAAAATGTGCTTCACAGAGGGGCACAAAACAGTTAAATGTTGAAGAATAAGGTCTGAATTTGATGAAAGGAGGAGGATGAAGTTGAACAGCTGTAGACTCTGCACTGAAATGGCTTGAAGGCATTCTGAATGCAGAGGACAGATGTTAACAGACTGACTCTTGGGTTATTGTGGGGAAAACATCTGCATGCTCAGGAATGGAAGGTTCAGTTACACAGTTTGAATATTATAGGAAATAATGCTGAGAAGAAAAACAAATCTTTCTTATTCCCCCTTTTTGCATCTTGCTAACTATCCCATACCATCACAGAGGTATTAGAATCAATCCAAATTGCTCATGTAGTTACCAAAATGTCAATCAATGGTAGTATTAAGATAAGGATATCTGGCTTTTAAAATGTAACTGGGATATAATGAATTCCTGAATAGAAGTACCCCTTTCTTTTTCTCTCACCTAAAACGATCTTCCCACCTTCTTCCTCTTACATTCTTCAGGTTTGGGACTGCTTACCCTGGGGAGGAATGCTGCATGGCCCTATCTTGGTGGGCATGATGTTTGGATCATATTATACCGCTCCCAAAAGACCTGCACTGGTGGCAAGTTACTTTCCAAACTCAAGTCAAAGGTCTTAACCTTTAGAGACTTAAATGGCTTTATTTCATATGTTTATGCAGCTTTAAAGGATTATGCCATGCCAGAACATTAAGATCAACAGGTGATGTCCCTTTGAAGGCAACATTAGCAGCAGAAGCCCATTTGCTGGATGCACATGAAAGGATTTTCATGCTGTCCCAAAACTATGGAACATACTCTCTCAAGAGCTATGAGCAGCCCCCACTCTCTTGGCCATTACAATTTAAGCTTTTAAGAGGTACAGTTTAAAATATTTTTACTGCATGTTATCCTTTTATTGTTACAAGTTTTATTTCAAATTGTTGTGGACCAACTTGATGGCTTTTAAGATTCAAAATAGTGTCCCAAAATAGGAGTAGCGTATAGCACCAACTATAATATCTCTGTCCAGCTTACCAACCAGTATTGTCATCATGCTAGCAGTACCTACTCCTGTTCATTCCAGCTATAGTCCAGAAAAAAGTTCTGGACTAGACATACTGTGTTGTATATGAAAAATACTGGAGTGGTCCTATTTTGGGTTAGTGGGAAAACTAGGCCTAGTTGTCACTGGAGTGATAAACCTGGACTGTGGTGTAGTGGTAAATTATGAAGTGCAATACTTACCATGGCAGTTCTCATAGCCATACCACATGCAAGCAGCTTTTTTGACTCATGCATTTCTATGTGAATTGATGTAGGGATTTTGTAAAGATAATGAATCTTAATTAATTCAAAGGCAAGCTACCCCAAACTGCTGTTGCAGAGCAACAGAAATAGCTTACAACCAGAAACTGTCACCCTCTCTGGAGCTACTATGAGGATGGCAGCAGAAGGAACAGGAGAGCCTGTGGGAAGGAGGTGACCCTGCGCCCCAACTCTGTTATGCCACTCTCTGCTTTTTCTCTGCTGCACATGAACTTAGCACACAGCAGTCAAATGCAGCTTTACCACCTCAGCAAGAACGAGGCAGCGATGATCCGCCCACAAATTTACTGCAAGAACACGCTGAACTCTGGGCACATTATACAATTCACCATCAGAAGCTAAATGGCTCCCTGCCAAGCTAGTGCCAAGATATCCGCATATCCTATGTACATGGGCAGGCTTGGGCAACTAATTTGAGAAGGTTACTAATGTTACAGTTCATTATCATCAGGGGTATTGTTCAATGGGCATTGCTTCACACATTCAGGTTTTAGCAGATCCACATCACATACCTGCACTGTGGACATTACATGACACAGAAGGCTGCTACCATGCTTAAGCTAAGCAGGTCTGGGTCTGTCCGGTTCGTGCTCTAAGGACAGACTCCCTGGAAACCATATGTAGTACAGTGAGCTCCGTGAAGGAAGAATGATGGGATATAAAGGTAATTAATGGATAGCAAACATGTGCATACAGCTTTTAAAATGATCTCTTACATACCATGGAAACAAGCTAAAGGGAGATGTGCTGGATTTGAGTTACTGCTTTTATGTGGGGGAGGGCAGAAAATGTGTATGCTTTCAAACAGTATCACAGTCAGGGATACACAATGTGAATATGGGGTATATAGCTGTGACTACAGGAATGCATAACTGCCTAGGTGTCAAGCAATATTATTGGTGGAAATAAATGTCAAGCACAAGATGACTGAACAAAAACTGTTTATATAAAAGACATTGGGCACGAATCAACACAGTAATCATTTCAGTGTCCATTGAATTTTAAATTGAAATTACAACTTTTATGATTCACTTTATACTGAACCAAGTTAGATGAACTCTTAAAATGCTTCATTGGCTTCTTTCCAAGTCAGTTAAGTGTTTATGAAGTCAGTCTATACTGCTGCTTCCTGCAAATTGAGTGGAATGTATCTGTTAATATTTCCATATGCACATATATGTACATAAATACCATAAAATAAACACTCCAGAGATTTAAATACCTTTAATATTATCATCCTAAAATTAAATTGTGTAACCTGGCTGTTTTCCAATTGGCTTATAAACTTCCCTTGATGCACTATCTGTACACATTAAAAAATGCAGAATGCACATTGTACTATTTATTCGTAAAAGTACCAGTTTGGTTGCCAATGATTCTATGAGTGACCATCATTGCAATCTAATTAAATATCCAAGACTCACCCAACTGGACATGATTCAAGGCAAGCTCAGCAATAAATTGCAAAATTTAGCCTGACCGCTTAATCAAAAATCAGCAACTTGCTCTAGCTAGCTATCACCCAACTCATAAGCTCAATGACTTGGTTAGACATACTGTGTAACAGATGTCCAGTATACAGCTATGAGCCTTAATCATAAATATGCTGCTTTAGTTTGACATGGGACAAGTTGGGAAAAGTTTGTTAGTTGACAGCAAACTTCTTGCTGCTAGTAGAAGGATAAGTGCTATTAAATGAATTAACCACATATTGATTAAAGAAAGACTTGGAGCTTGGAGAACTACCATTAATTTTCTTTGCAGTGATTCATCAAACTGTTTCTTTGCTCCTCTAATTTAAGTATTAAACCAGAGAATAACAGATTATCAAGAACTGATCAGATTATTTTCTTATAACTGCTTTGGAGGGCCCTATTTAGAATACTGTCAGGGGGTAGTGCTTGAAATAAAATATATTTACCATGTGAATAGTGCATTCCCATACAATGTGCCAATCAATAAGTCCCACTAACTCAATGTGGTTTACTTCTGAGTAGTATTCTAGAGATGGTGTTTGTTCCCCTGCTAGTTCATGAATGAATTAGAAAAGATGAAAAATGGATTTCAGTGACAATTTTAGCCTAGAAAAAGACACCATTTGCAAGCATGGATGAATTATTTATTTATCAAATTTGTACGCCATCCATTACTTCCATCTCTGGATGGCTTACAACATTATTTCATAATAAAATAAGTTAACTTTTCCATGCTGGCTGAACATCATATAAAATATAAATAAATCATCTCATAGGTAAAATATATTAAAATATTGATTGAATAAAAAGGTCTTGAATTAGCTTGATTTTAATTTTCTCTTTAATGTCATCTTTAATAATGTGTAGCTATATAGCTTAGCTATGATGCTATATATTAAAGTTGTTATTTTCTGTGTGCAATTTGGAGAAAACGTTAAGTATAATTAAGAAATGTATATGTTCTGAAGGATATTGTGCCACTATTTTAATCACTTCTTAAGAAATCAACCTGAAGGGCTGCACAGTTTAAATATGGGATTCCTAGAGAAAGTGTGGTATGAAACTTGATTTATTTCATATACATTAAATAATACATAATTAATGCAAGATAACTGAGGAAAGGAAATACTATGCTACTTAAGGACAAAAGTATTTTAATTTATATATAGGGGAGAGCTGATATCTAAAACTAGAATAAAGTAAACCTTTTAAAACTTTTGATATATGATTTGAAAAGTAAGAATATGCTGTACTATATTATCAATTATGACTACATAGGAAAGAATCTTAAATTTTAATTTTGCATGTTGTCTGTATTCTATTTACCTACTTTGACCGCTGTTAATAAACTAAATAAATGATAATAAATATATATGGATATGAATGAGCATGCTAAAGCCAAAGAAACTAAATTTCAGTTAATAAGCAAATGTAAGGAACAGAGTGGAAACAGCTCACCTATATTTAATCAGAAGGAAATATCACTAAGTAGATCAATGATCTACTGAGTAGCATGTCATGAGCAGAGCCAGCTGGGGCTAGGTCAGACTAGATGGCCCAGGAGGCTCCTTCTGACTCCCTCTGTTTCTAATGGGACTTATCTCTGGCCAGTACTGAGATAGCAGCCTACAGCATAATCATTGAAGGTGGCTGCAGAGAGGGGAGATTCCTGTTAAAACCCAGAAAAAGTTGAAGACAGTTCCAATCAACCTTCAACCAGAACAAATGAAATTACTTAGGCTGAGAATTGTGTTTAAAACATTTTTTTAATAAACTTGTACTAGCTGCAAGAATGTAATTGGCATCAAAACATCCCATTTTCTGTTGAGCAGGAAACCATCTTTTGATTAATTATGACAAGAACTCTGAGTGCAATACCACAGGATTTATTTTGCTGCTTCGGTATTCTGAGATGATTCCCACCGTCAGGCCACCAACAGAAAACGGCTTGTTGTAACCTCCGATTGCTACCACTGCGAAGAAAAGCAACCCTTAATACCGAAACTATCCGAGTTGGAGAAGAACTGGGAACCGGAGTAGTTTAGGACCCAGAAAGCATCGCCAGGCGGTAGTTGTGCAGATCACTGGGAGACTCTAAAAGGGTCCAGTTTTAATTCTGCCTCTAATCTCCACAACAGCCTCGCTTCCCACAGCAGCCCAAGGTCGGGTTGATCCTGACCGGTGCTTCGAATTTTTCGCTTTCACTGGCCTCCAGAAACCATGTCATGCGCTCCTTTGCAACGGAAACGCTAGAGGGAAAACTGGTTTGAGATGCTCGAGCCTTTGATCGCGATATAAAGGAGGTGCTCAAACATGAAGATGCTAATGGTAAGTCATTTGCAGGACCTCCAAAGGAAACCCACCAAGAATGATCCCAAATCACCCGAGAACCCCCAAAGGAAAACCACCAAATCTGGCTGGGTAGTTGTCGGGAGATCCCAGCCTTTTTGGGGAGGGCTGCCTGGTTGGTTGATTTCCGCGCTGTGCCGTGCGCGCGGCTTGCCCTATTTATTAATGGGCGTTTTGCTCAAGGGACTAATAACAGCAGCGACAGGCGAAGAACTTTCAGCCTATTTGCTTGCCCTTCGCTCGGGGCTCCTGCCGTCGTGCCACAGTCGGTATTTGGGAATGGCGGGCAAGATATCGTAGATGTGCTTGAAAAGGCGGTAGGTGGGAAATCGACTCTGGTGCTTGGCCTCAATGCCGAGGAGGCACTTGAAACACAGTCCGACGAAAATAGTAGTCACAGGAGACGCTGCACAAGTGAGAAGAATCCGGAAAGGAGAAAGGGCAATGAAAGCTGCTGGCAGGGCGAGTGAAGCATGTAGGAGATGGGGGAGAAAAAGGAGCAAGGAGGGCGAGTGTGCGGGGCTGGATGTGAGAAGTAGGAGTAAAGGGAAAGTGAGGCAAGTGGTCGGGAGGGTGACATTTAAACCCTAACTGCGCTTCCTCCAGGGCTTCTCTGCATTTGGAAGCTGGGTGTCTTGCAAATAGACACGCTCCCGTTCCTCCCTCTTTCCCCCAGCCCTCACTTCCCGATTGGTCATCTAAAATGTCAACTGCGAAGCAATGCAAGGAACGTTCTGACCCAGCAGCCCCTTTCAAGAATCTCTAGATATGAATAGTCCGGCCGGTTCAGGAGAAGTAAAAACTCCCAAAGGGTACAGAGAAAGGGCATCGTTTTCCCTCGCTCGGTCAGGAGAGACTTGCGGAAGAAGTGGGGGCAATGGCCGGCTTTGCTGATCATTAACTAAGCAAACTCATTCACGTGCCCCGTGCACTGGCGCTGCCAGGGTGAGGGGGCTGAGGAAAGAAGCGGCGGGAAGCGAGGGGCGAGGAAGTAGCGGACAGCAGAGCGGCGGGGAAGTGGGATGCAGCCGCTGGGCCCTCACGAGCTCTGACCAGGCACCGTTGCATATACTGGCGGTCGAACTCATTTTGCACCGCCCCACTTGAGGGGCTGGGGTCCAGCCTTTCCCTTGCTGCTTGCTGGGCGCTGAGGCCTGCCGCTCAGAGTGTCTCCTTGTCCCCCTGCAGCGACATGGGCTGGCTGTGTCTTTAGCGCTCACCACCATGTGCACTAGCTTGTTGCTCATGTACGGAAGCATCGGTGGTAGTGCTGGGGCAGGCGGTGGAGGAGGAGGCCGGAAGGAGCAAAGCCAGCAGCAGCAGGTGGCGGTGACAGCCAGCCAGAAGCCGGAGAATCAGCAGCAACTGGCCACTTCTGGCCAGCGACGCCCACCCGCACTTCCTGACCGACCCTTGGACGGCTACATCAGTGTCCTGGATCACAAGGTGAGGGCGGAGAGCCGCGAAGACGAAGGAGGGTGGGGGCTGTTCCCGCCCCCATTCGTCACTGGGCACAAGACAAATGATTGACGCGTGGGGCAGAGAATGAGCTGCTCCGAGGGACCTCCTGCCCTTGGGAGGCTTGAGAAGACGGTTTGAAAAGGAGGGGTGTTCTAGGGACACCCGAGGACAGAAATAATAAGCTGTTCTCTGACGGACACCGTGGGAATTCGGGGTGGTGTGAAATAAGAGCTGCATGTTTTTGAAACGTGTTGACGTTTTTGGATATAGTATGTTGGAATCCTTAAGGATTGTATTTTCTCTTGAAAGACTGACTCATATTTAGGCAATTAGCCATTCATAATTTGATATTAATAATCATTTATTTTAATAATACTGTCTGATATAATCCCACAGAGCAAGCCCAGAGCAAAAAGTTCTTTCATAGCTTATTGGAGATATGTCTTTTGTTTAGCAGATGTATATGTTGGTTTGAAGATAGTTGGGAAGTATCTTACAATGGGTTCTGTTGCCTTAGGAACCTTAGTTCTTTCCCTAAAAAGTCCATTCAGGGCTTTGGCAGGGCCAAAATTGTTTGAATGCATAAGTGGTCTTTGATCTTTCCTGTTTGCAGAAGTGCTTTTGTAAAAAGGGAGCAGGTTTTAAAGGGCATCCTTCAATTTAAAGTACTCTACCAACTATAGGTCTGTCTGTGATGGGCAAGTTCTGCCTCCTGGAAGAGCAAAGTTTGTAATGCTGGCTTCTGAAGTTCTGTAGATCCAGACATTAGCACTTGCAAGACCAGAGAAAAGATGGTACAAAATATGAACAGAACTGATAAATTAAATAAAAGTCTAGCATTATCTTTATGACATGCAAAGTTAAAATAATAAAGAAAATCTTTATTATCGCTTAAGTGATCATTGCTTTTGCTAGTTAAATCTTTTCTAACCAGTATTTACAGTCTTACTATTAAAAGTTTCCCATAATAATAATTAGAGAAAAACTGCCAAGCATAAATGAGTTGTTATTTTTGGAAAAGAACATACAGGAAAAATACTGGAGACATGGAATACAATCTCAAGTACTTCCAAAAAACACGATAACCATTATACTAAATGTAGTTAAACCACAATATCTCTCTCTCCCATTCTCTGCATCCACATGTGTATGGATGCAGAGAGAGACAAATGGTTCAGAGGATGGTTAAATTTATTTATTTAAAGCTTTTCTATACCATCCTTTTACCAAGAGTCTGGTAATTTTTTGGTGAAGAATGATTCTGCAAATAATTATGTACCTTCATAATCTACAATATACAAAGAACATTGTTGGGAACATAATTACTTTATGTAAATCAATGGAGAATAGTTATAATATTTGAGCATAAAGAAAATACTGTTCATTCTGATCTACAGAGATCCCTTTGTAACAGGTATATAATATAGTTCTATTGAGATTTCTCCTCTATCTCTTCTGGTGAGTTATACATTGAGTACTGCATATATTCTATCATTCAATCCAAGTATTCTATCTATTCAATTCATGATGCTGGGCAGTGAAGCTTTTCAAACATTTATTGTAAGCCATCCTGAGATGGTAGTGGTAGATGAGTTAGAAAAGCTTTTAATAAACAAACAAACAAACAAACAAACATGGAAGGGATATTCCACTATGAAATAAGTACAGTGGTACCTCGGCTCATGAATGCCTCAGTTCATGACCAAATCGAGTAGTGAACAGAAATTTCAGAAACATTTTGCCTCAGGTCGTGAACTCCACATTGGTTGAAGGGAAAATGGGCACAATCACAGTCATGCCTAGGGGAGGGGGAGATGGCCGCGATCATGCTGGGGGGAGGGGAGATGGCCATGATTGCAGTCGCACTCGTGCAGGGAAGACAGGTGTGATCATGGTCGTGCTTAGGAGGGAGATAGCTGTTATCATGCCTGGGGAGGGGGGAGGTGGCCGTGATCTTTGTTGTTCTTTGTAACTTTGTTGTTCTTTGTCACTTTGTTTCAAATTTTTGTGATTTAAAAAAATGTTACAGAACGGATTAATATATTGAATCTTACGGGGAAATTTGACTTGGGTCATGACCAATTTGGGTCATGACCAGAGTTGTGGAATGGATTAAGTTCATGAGCCAAGGTACCACTGTATATTAATGGAACATTGGCTCTGTAGCAGGTCCACCAGGGGGAGTCTGCATTCCAGAAAAAAAATTGAATCATAAATGTCTTGTTCTTTGAAACATTCTTACTCCAGTCTTCAGCTGAAAACATACCCAGAACATCTTACAAAAATCAGTAACAAAATAGCTCCTACCATTAGCTTTACAATCTAAAAGGCATAACATAAAAGGAAGAGGATTGAGAAGGAGAAGGGAGGGAAAATAAACTTACACAGAAGTTCTTAGGGAGCTCTGAGGAGCTCTGATAATGACCAAGTATAATGGAAATAGAAAGGAGAGGGGGAGTTAAAAGTTGCTTGTCTCTCAGTGGGGCCAAAGGAGTGTCCTCCTTTCCTTCTTTCTCTATGCAGCAGCCTGATGAAAAGACAATTAATAACTGGATAGCAGTTGAAATAGAGGAATAGCATGATGGAGAGCTGATGGTGTGGCCTTGCTTCCTTGCTCTTCCTCTGCTAATTTGGGCAAACCAGTTACTTTGAGGAAAGGGGATTTAACTAGGGCAGCTTTTCCTAGCCTGTTGCCTTTCAGATGTTTAGGACTGCAACTCTCAGCATTCCTCTTCATTGGCCTTGCTGGCTAGACTGATGGAGGGCACCAGACTGGAGAAGGATGACCTAAGGAAAACTCATGTGTATGGGCTATTGATTGTACAAATTGACAAGCTGGCATGTTCACAGGATTGTGTTTTATAGAAGAATATTGGCATTGTTCCTTTCATGACACTTGTATAATGCAAGGGGACATTTTTATTTTGACAAATCTCAAATTAAGTAAGATTTTAAATTAATGGAAAAAGTAGTGGTCAGAAATAGGCCAAGGAACCAATTAGGTCATTAATTACTTAATGTTTGTTTATTTTTATACCACACACAGTAGTTAGTCCCACATGGGACTCCCTAAGTGGTGAATACACACACATACACACACAACCTAATGCAATTCTGTGTATTGAACACTGCAGTAAGTTCCCCTGATTTAATGGGACATATTCCCTCCTAAGGACACATTGGACTAATCAAAGGAAGCATTAAATAATCTCTCTATAGGCAAAAATTGGGGGGTAATTTGATGAATGTAACAGTTCAACTTGTCTGGATAATCCAGGCAAATCATCTACTGTGTTATGTATATTGTGTACAGTGTTGTTTAAAGGAAGGGCTTGCACTATGACTGTCCTGTCTTTGCTATATGCATGTCCACAAACTCATTCCAGAATCTGCAGTGCACAGAAATTTGTTTTTCATATGCACAACCAGTGGTGCAGATGGGGAACAGGTCACTATTAGCCTTTAAATGACAGCAGTCAATATTTCTCCACCGAGATCCTGGATGTGAATGCATATCCAATTATTACATTTGGTATTAGATGTACATAAAACTTTTATTATGTTTCTGCAAAAAAACATTGTCATCAGTACTGAATGTATGAAAAAGTCAATTAAATTCATATTAAGATGTTATATTTTAAAAGGTTTCATTAATGAATGAGATTCCGAAACAGACTTTTCATCAATGAAGGCATTTGGCATGAAGATTATAATTTCCCTTTCAAACTAGAGAGAATGGACCATACAGTTAAATTTAGAGACTTGAAATGAAACTAAGAGATTTGGAATGCATTGGAGAATGGTTGGTAAAACAGAGACTCTTCCCTGTTCCTGCTGCTCACACCCCCTAAGTTTGATCGAGGGACCCACTGTTTTGAGTGAAGCAGATTTGGACAGAGCAAAGGGAGAGTTGAGGAGAAAAGGAAGTCTGTTCCCATGATGTTGGATGTTGCTCAGCATTCCTTGCAATTTTTAGATCTTGGATGTTTAAAAACACATTGCTGGCCTATTGTACATTGATGTAGTCTTTGCTTTATCTAGAACCAAGGGTGAATTTATCAGGGATTTTGTTTTGTTGTTTCTTTAACAGCAACAGTGCTGACCAAATATAGGAATGAAGCAAGCATATCTTACATGTTGCTTCAACCCATGTGTAGACATAACACAAATACACAGTCAGGCCCTGAAACAGCTAGAGCCTACACATATTTCTGTATTTACTCTGTGTTTGTGTCCTTGCTTTTGTTCCTTGCAGCATTATCTATTTTTCTCAGCTGGAAAAATTGCATTACTGGTTCATTTCATTCCAATTATTCTTGTTTAAACTTTCAGTGTGCATTAAGTAATAACATTCTGTTATGTTATCACAGAAATGGAACAAATATAGAAAATGCAGTGGAACAAAGATAGAAAATGGTACCTTTTGCTGCATGCCAGCTTGCTAGTTTTGTTGCAAGTGGTAGCCAATCTTAAGTTGCAACCAACTCTGCCTTTCATCTTTTGACATATTTATCCATGATTGCTGCTAACTATGCATCAATAAACTCTCTGTGTTATCACATTTAAAATTCTACATTACTTTGTATTTGCTGAAAGAAAATACAGCACCCTATTCAGATGTCCTTATCAGAGCTTCTTAGTTACATTTGTTGGGTAGTTTGACTGTACAAGTGAGGCTCTGCCCTTTGAAAGCTGTTTTGAATATAGTTAACTGCTTGGAATGCCATTTAATTAAGGTCCATTGGTGTGGCTGAGGTTATGTATTCAGTAAACCATATTTCTAACCACTGAGGTTAGAAATATGATCATATCTTTCAATAGAAATGAATTTATTGATAGTAGTTCATGGGGCAAGCCAGAATGTGGAATTCAGAGACTGGGACTATGGCACAGTGACAGAACACATAATAACTGCAAGATGAAGTAGGCATCACAGATTAGATGAAGTAAGAACAAGGGTGATCCCCAAGCAGAGCCATTCCCCA